TGTACCAATTTCATTTTAAGCATTGTCATGACCATCGCATTTTGATGCTTTATTTGTCACAGTCATGATAATGTTTTTAATCAACACTAAGATTGTTAAGTTTATTATCATCTTCAACCAATTACATTTTTACATGACTTACACAAGATGACATTTTCCTGTTCTTAAAGCTGTTTTAAATCTACTTTTTAAATTACATTGTATATAGTTTCCCCATTGGTGTATTAGTCCTATTTGGCTGCAATACAGTACCAATGGTTGAGCATTTGAAAATTTAAAGATTTTAGTTTTTACAAAATGTTTTACATATGCATTTTAGATGGAACATTTCACTTATAATAATCTGGCTGTTCTTTAATTTGCATCAGTACTTATTGTATATTTTTATGCAAAACACTACTCCATCTCAATAACACTTGGTAACATTAGTAGACTATGCTAGACTATGCTTTAGATGCATAATTCTCAGTTTGACAAATTGCATATGTCATAGCCACCAAAGGCAGAATTTTTTTATTTTCCAAAATATTCACTCCCCTTTACCTTTAATGTTGGTATGAAATGACTTTTTACATTAATAGTCTATACCTTTCTTTATTGTATGTAGAGCTTCAGTATTGTCAGAGACTTCTGTTTTTGTTTGTTTTTCTAATGAAATGTTAAAACTTTGCTTAAATTAGATTTACTGTTTCAATTCTTAGCTTATTTCTGCATATTTCCAATGGTAATATTTGTATTGCTGAATATCTGGATTTTTTTTAATTGGGAGGTATATTATTCTGATATTTTGTTGTCTTTTAGTGACTTCAAAAGATGTAACCCAAATTAGAACTTAAAAGTTAGTGTTTCTTTGTGTGGGATAAAATTTGACATATTGCTGTATTTTTACTTAAATTTCAGTCAGCAGTTTATTGCCTTATTTTCATATAGAATAGGAAATGTGAATTGTTGATAAAACAATTTGATATCCACTTCTTGTTGCAAAATGTCCATTCCACTTGATGTAATAATATCATATTTGTATACTTTAATTAATATATTCAATCTTTTAAACAAGACTATATATAATGAATTGTGTGGTATAGATTTTATACTGAAATTACAATCAAGGATCATCACGATTATAATAATAACATTGAAGGAGACTCTTACTGGAATTTAAATTTGCACAGTTTTGACTCGTGGTAGTGACATCATTTGGACTGTGCCATTGGCTGTAATTTTGACACTGCTATAAGCTAGCTGTGGTTCGGACATTGCTATAAGCTAGCTGTAACACTATATAATAGCCATTTGATTTTGACATTTCTCATACATATGGCTTCTGTGATTTTAGAAGTCAGGATCTCTTCATTTATGGACTTTTAACTTAAGCTCAGATGTGTTTAAATGTTTATTCATGTCATAATGCTAGTCAACTTTTTAAAAATTATTTATATCATAAAACTGAAATATAAACTATCTAAGACTGATATTATACTTTAATTTCATATTTTTTGTATAGTTATTTTTTGTTTTGGAAAAAAAATTGCTTCTTTAAAATAACCCGTGTAAATGAATTACAATGCTTGTAGTAGTCATCAACACAGCAGATATAGTAATTATTTGTGAAACCTCAGATTCAGTATATACTCTAATGAGTTTATTAAAAAGTTCTGTATATTCTATCATGGATTGCATGGAATTTTATGATTATGAAGTAAAATGTGACTGCCATTATATGAACTTCAAAGCCTATAATAAGTGTCATTTACAGGTAAGTATGGAAAGAGGGGGTCAATGGCCAGCCCGTAAAGGGAGGTAAACCTACCTCTTTAAGAAATATATTGAAGAAAAATACACTGTACAATCAAAATATTATATAACATGATATATCATTTGAATTACAAATATTCTTTCCAATAGAGAAAAAAAAGTTCTTTTTTCATTATCCAACAATATTGCATGAATCTGAGGTTAGAAATTTTTATCTGTGATAGTAAAATGTTTTTTTCCTTTCTAATTCACTCACATAATCTTTCCTTTTTTCGATTTTCAATGGAAAAGATTATTTTGACTGGTGATTATTTTCTTCATGTAAATAACATATTTAAGAAATATTTATATTATGACTGTATTGTTAAAATTTTTGATGCTGTTTTATTTTTCATTAAACATTCATTCTCAAGTTTATAAATGTTATCTAAATCAATACTAGTATAATTATATATGCTCTTAATTGAATTGTCACTAGTAAGGCATTCCTTCATTAAGATAGCTTCTTCACAAAGTTTAGGTGTCAAATTTCAAATTATATACACTGTACTCAAAATGTATCAAAATTCAATTTTTAAACTGTACTAATGTACATGCATGTGTAACATTTCACTTCTAATAATACAAAACATTTGTTATAATTCTTGAAATCAAATAAAATTTTAAATACAGCCTTAAAACTGCAATTTTTTTATTGATGTAAGCATAAAAAATGAATATAATTATATACAATCATTACCTGTGACAGTCTTGAGAAATGAGAACATATTTAAACAATAGCGTGTTAAAAGCCTCTGCACTTAAATGCAATTAAGTAAACAGATGGTTCATTTGGAATTAAAACATTCCCCTCTTATATGGATTTAATTTACTAAAGAGGCCACAAATCTAGTCTATAATTTACCCTTGGAAAACATATTTCATGGGGGAAAAGTGCCTTTGTTTCATCCTCTGAAGAACAATTGGGCCGAGGTGGTTCAGGTGAGCGTTGTGGCCCATGGGCCTCTTGTTTTAACTCACAAATTGAAATAAAACAAGACAAAATTAATGAATCTGTACCAAAAAATTGATCCCTCAAAATTAATTAGGTTCCAAAGTTGTTTATTAATTTAAATATTAAAAAAAAAATAATAGAAATGCCAGCTTTCAATGCACAGTCTTTAGAGCTACCAGGGTAGCAAGATCAGCGAAACATTTTAGCGCAATTTGACGTCATTTCAATTGTTACGTTATTGTGTTCAATTGTGACGGCAGTCAAGGGTATTGTGACGTGCCTGAGTCGACGCTGCGTTAAAATGTATGCGCAGATCAAGTAGATCGGGCCTCGTTAATTTGGATTCTCGGAATTTTCTCCGACTCGGAAGAAAATACAAAAGATTTAAATAACACATTACAGAGAAGATAAAATTGTATTATTAGATGAAACGAGGTGTTCTCCGTGTTCAGAATTGTATGAAAAGCTTTAATTTAAATGTATTAACTATATTTCTCTACTTAATTTTGTATTTTTCAAAAATATATTTTTTTGATCAGTTACGCCATATATGGCTTTAACAGCGTTGCAGGAATTATTTTCAGGAAAACTTTTAACTACAATTGGCTTGTTGCTTAGAAACAAAAATAAAAATACAACCTTTGTGATTAATATTTAATATAGGGTTGACAGGTCGACAGTTGACAAAAAATTATTGTATAAGCAGGGTTGGCAGTTGACAGGTCCACAGTTGACGCAATGAATTATGACCCTCTAATACTAGTAAGTACACAATTGAACATATTTTCATTTTAATAGTTTCATCTAAGAAACCCTAATCTCTCGGGTAGAGACATAGATGGGCCGCTCTCTGGAAAAAGGGGTCTTAATGACATCGGTATTATGACGTATAAAATCGCCAAAGAAGTTGACGTCATTTTGCTGTCTTGAGCTGTGAAATTTATATACATGTTTTCAAGTTGTCTTGTTGCCTAGTCGTTTACTGAAAATTGAAATTGAAATGGAATGTGAATTGGAGGTAAGTAACATTTCTTATTTCAAACAGACTTCGGACTTTTTGCTTTCTCCATGCTCTTGTCACGAACATTTCCAAGTGAGATTGTCTTATGCTATTCTGCCTGTCAGTCCAGTGATAGCCCATGCGTCAAGACAAGTATTCTTGGTACATTTACAACTCTGTGTCTAAGAACATACTGTGAAATCACTAATTTTCGTGGGGGTTAAATTTTCGTTGTTTTCGACGTATGAAGAGACCTACGAGTTCATGTCCATCACTAAATGTAAATTTTAATATGCACAGCAACTAAAAAATTCTTCATCCACGAAATCAAATCCCCACGAACAAACATTTTTTTCTCAAACCATGAAAATTTGACCCCACGAAAATATGTGATTTTACAGTACTATGGTACAAACAACGTGAGTAATTACAGTTCAAACCCGTTGCCAGCGAACCATTGCACAGCTCAGTAAGGAATGGTAAAAAACTAATGTTTAATAGCTCTACAAACAGACATTTGCTGTATATTTCTGCCCTGCTTATCATCCATGCATCAGACACTGAGTTAAGCCGAAGGCCAAAGTACCTTTGCCAAATTTGTGGAAAGGCAGAAACATGGAAACACGAGGCTGTAGCTTGTGACAATTGTTCATTCTGGTATCACACGGATTGTATGCACATGCCTACATTAGTTTATCATGCCCTTGAAAATTCGAATACCTCATGGGTATGCTGTTTCTGTGGAATTCCTAACTTTTCCAGTAGTCTTTTTGAAAGTGTTGTTATAGACTCTGTAAATAGGTTTTCTAGTTTACAGAACACTTCCCATAGTGACTTAGCCTCTCTAACATCCTTCAGTCATTCAGAAATAGGATCACCTCTGCACACTTCTAGCCCAGCAGGGAAAACTAGAAACAATAAAGTAACACCCTCCCAGCTTCGGTTTGTGTGCCTTAATGTGCAAAGCTATATGCCCAAGAAGGAAAGCTTTTGGAATCTCTTAGAAAGCAGCAACCCTGACGTGGTCCTTGCAAAGGAGACCTGGTGAAGGCCAACAATCCACAACAGTGAGCTGCTGCCTCTAGATTCATCATATTCAATTTATCGATCGCAGAGATCGTAGTGATGGGTATGGTGGAGTCCTTATTGCGCATAAAGATTATCTCACAAGTGATCCAGTTGAGATTACAAATGCTTACAAGAAATTTAAAAGAAGGTGTAAATAATAAAAATTATAATATAAGCTACTAGATGCATTTACCAGTATGTTTTAATAAAATAAAATGTATTTCAGCAATGCATTCTCAAGAAGGAAGAGATTAATGAACCCTACCCTCTTACAATGAACAACACATGGACACTCTCAGGATGATCCCTTTGCTTTCATTAAGAGTTCCAAGGTATGGTTTTCTTAGAAAATCTAGTTAATCCCTTAATATTTAAGATATTTAGATCTTTTTATAGATTATTTGAAAATAAATTTCCTCAGAACTGCAGTTATTTAAGCACTTTGCTTACAATTGAGCACTGTATTCAGTCAGACAATATGATTTATCTGTCCTTGGCATTTAATCAATTTATTAATTATGTCAATAATAAGAAATGATATGCAAATAATTATATTTGCCTTTTATGAGAATATACATATTTAACATCAATTACATGAAATGTTCATGAAAATTGGCTAAAATGTAGGTCACCCCCTTCAAAATTACAAAATTTTCAGTGGGGATGTATTTGATTCTCTGATGCCAGCAACCCATTGCTGATAAAATTCTTTTTGATTTTATGTACATTTGAACTAGATATAATTCTCTTTCTTTCCATTGATTATTTTATCTACATTAGTTTTTACTCTTTCCATAACCCAGCTTTTTCTTACAAAAACCTGCTGATTTTCTTCATTTTTCATTAATAACGGGTACCTGCTACCCTGAATGATTAACATGATCTACCTTGAGAAATTATTAGAGATGATAAGAAAAACAAACAAAACATATGTAGATTAATCATTTTATTTTAAAAGTTTGAAAGAAAAATAGAAAAATGCTTCAATTTATAGACATCTTTTCTGTTTCACAGTTGTGGGTCTGATTGACTGGGGTGTGAAATGTAACAGCCAACGGTGTACTTAAGCTAAGACTGTCAGTCCCAATATTCAAGAGGTGAGATAAGCAATGGATATGTGTTCTAAATTTACTAAATTGACCACTTTTTATAAATGTTTCTTTTACTCTATAGGAAAAACCCCTACATAAACAAATACATGGGCGCAGACATTTTGGACACCCAAAGTTGTGCGGAGGAGAAAATGCTAGCTGGCGCGTGATTGGTCAATAAGAGAAAAGACTTGTTATGTATTTGACAAGTGAAATAAAGTTGATAAAAATCTCATATCAAGACTTGGGTTTCTTTGAGGTATATAGGAGTTACAGGTAAAAATTTGAAGGGAGGGATGCACTTTGGTTAGAGATTTTCATTTGGTGTCAAACGCACCTAGTTGTAAACAATTGGAAATTGAAAGTAAAAGTGCCGCGTGACGGTATATTTTTTCTGACATTTTTTGTTTTCCAATATCTCGAACTTTCACGACAAAAAGGTCATTTGTCCGAAATTCAATACATGTATCAGTGACAGGGGCTAAAGTTTGTATGGAAGTCTATGGGAAAACATTTGGTGGTGTTTGTCCAGTAACTCAGATATCAGATGTATTTACTTTTCTCCCGTAAACCGGAAATACTGTCTGCTACGTAAAAACAAAATCGGAACGGGTCTATAACCATCCCATAACAGTTAATATTTGCGATAGTTACCCATAATAATGCTAATATAATTGCACTTTATAAGAAAATACACAGGGTAATATTTATGACAACATTCTCATTTTCTCAAACAAAATTATACACACCTTCTCAAAAATTTTCCTACTGATCATAGATATTTCATCTATGACTAGTGTGAAAAATGTAGTGACAGCGATATTATAATCACGAAGTTTTAACTGTATTACTTGAATACATTTTTTTTGTGCATTGTGTTTTGATACGACCCCCGAATTCTGTCAGACGATGTGTATTGCCGCATACGTTATTTTCTTTGCTTTTCGAGATTTTAATGTTGTTATGATGTTAAATTAATTGTTATCTATCGCTTCCTATATTGTATACATGATCACATAATTGGAACGGTGTTTGTTTAGCGATTATTTGATAAATTGTTACCTGGTATGTTTTCTCTTTCGCCGCATGGTTTGTTATTCCGGAAGTGCGGTTTCCCAGAATGCATTTTTCTTAAAATGTTAAAAGTTGTAAGCGGCGATTTATTTAATTAATTGTATGTCAATCTTCTTTAATTATTACGAAAGTTATTTTGTTTATAAAGTAGTTATAATATATTACTTGTTTCTATTTTATGGTGAAACATGTGTACAACTTTTTGTAGTCGTGGGAATAAGGTTATCGCGTATCGCCTGTGATTGGTTGATGATCAGGTGCGCGATGTTTCTGATTGGTTATCGTATTTTACGTCATTTCGTAGTATTTCATGACGTATATATAGTAAGAACGAGAGTTGCAGACAGTAGAGTAGATAAGAGACAGCAGATTACACCACTATATCAAGGTGTGTGATTAATTAGTTTTTTGGGGTTAAATAATTTGATAGTATTAAGTGGTGTGGGGGAAAACTTCATTCAGAGATTGAATAATATTTATTTACCAGTATTTTACTGGTGTAGATTTTCATGATTACTGGTTCATTACCAGTTTAGGATTAAACTTAGGATTTTAATAGGTCTAAGAGAGTTAGACTTGCACATGAAATATTTAGTTACTGGATAAGACTCCAGTTATAGGGGTTTTTATGAATTTGTGAAACACCAGAGATTTTGTGAAATGTTAAACAGTATTGTTTTGTTTCTGTGTCCTGTAAAATAAATTTATAAACTTTCAATGGAGTTCTTGACTTGTTGAAGACAGTCCAGTTAGCGCATCCGCACGTTACAATTTTGGCATCCACGGCGGGATCTGTAAAATTTACAGATCCAGTGATTGAATTCTGTACCTCTAAATAAAAAAATCGTTTTTCATGTACCTGTAATTTACAGGTTATTTAAAAGAAAAAAAAACATTTGGTATACAATACTGTTTACTTGCATTATCTTGGTGTTTTATGTACAAGTTATTTTACTTGTTTACAAAGTAACTTTATGTCATGGGTTCTAAGAGAAAAGCTCGTAGTCGCGCGGCAAGAAGAAGTCGAGATATGGAATCTCCTTTAAGCAGACACATTGAAGAGGATGTGCTGGTGGGTAGAGACTACAATTCAGACGCATCTCAATCCGTCCAGTCTGAAAAAGAAGAAAGAAAACTGATTGAAACACCTGCTAATAACACAAACATTAGCACGAGACTGACAAGTTCTACTCCACAAACAAATGTAGAGTCCGAAATATTTGAAACTAATGCAGGTAAATTACCTGCTGCAGATCATACATGTTTGGTACATGTTACAAACAATACCCTTTTGCAACACAATTCAGGTGATGTACCTGTAACATCCAAAAGCTCGTTTACACCAGTAAGTTTTTCTGATGTAATCCAGGTACCCAGCACACATACTAGAGCTCCTACTCCTAGCTCTTTGACAAATGTATATAAGGGTAACAACTCAGTGCACTCACTATTTTCACATGAAGTAAGTGCTAGGCCACCATTATTTTTGTCGGGTATTCAAGGTCCAGTAGCTTCACCTTTAGTAAGCTTAAGAAACCCACTGCCAGATCATTTACAAAATTGCAACACTGGTTACTTGACAACATTCTCAACTGCAAATTCTGTACCTCACAATCATAGCCCTTCAATAACCAGAAGTACTTTCATGCATTGTCAAGAGCCACTGCACACAATTCAGTCAGGGCATGTACCAACTAGTTCAAAACCTTATTTTAATATTGGCACATTAGGACCAGTCAATACAATGCCCAGTACACACAATACAGGTTATGTACCTGTCATATCTCATACTGGTCAGTTTTTACCAGTTTCCTCATCAGCCAGTACTTTACCTGCTGCTTGTACAGGTCAAATTCCTGTTCTTACATCTTTAGGTAATATACCTATTGTTTCAAGTATGGGTTTCCCTTCTAATTACCCATCATCTTACATGGTCCAGAACGCCTCTGCCACAAGCTGTGCCTTTGGAAGAAGTCAAAATGGTGCTCAAAACAACAACAACACCAGTCATGGTTTTCAAAACTATCTGGCGCCACCTAATGATGCTCCGTTGCAGATCCATAATGATAATGTGTTGCAACCCTCTAACATTGCCCAGCTAATTCAGGCCGAGGTGGAAAAAGCAGTACAGAAACTGTCAGCCAAAATGCAGCATGCTAGGCCAGCGACCAACAAATTTCAGTGTGAAGACAATTCTGACTCAGACCTGGAAGATGCAGAGTCCAGTGACACTAAATCTTCAGTCGTCTTGAATGAAACCAAATCCAGAGATTCCAGAGTAAAGTTACCTCCCTTTAATGGCAAAGAAGATTGGAAAATTTGGTACGCAAGATTTGAGGAGATCGCAGAAAGGAAGAGATGGAGTGAAAAACGAAAACTTGACGAGTTATTGCCATGTTTCCATGGAGTAGCAGCAGAATTTGTTTATGGCCAACTAACCAAATCTACTCGAAGAAACTATAGGAAACTGACGGAGGAATTAAACAACAGGTTTCGGGTTGTCGAAACTAGAAAGACCTTTATATCCAAGTTTAGTAACCGGCAACAAAAACCTGGGGAGAGAGTGGAGGATTACGCCGCTGAATTAAAACGATTAAAACGATTGTATGACAAAGCACACCCCAAGAGAAACTCTGAGACGCGAGAAGAAGATATGTTACGAAGATTCTTAGATGGGCTAGCGATGCCCAGTTTCATGTCGAATATGTCAAAGAACCAGAGAATATAGACGAGGCCGTCCTGCAAGTTGTAAATTTCGAAGAGACTGGTCGAGCACAGAAAAACAAGCACAAAGCTGTGAGACAAAGCAAAGAACAGAAAACTGAAGCCAGAAGTGAGGCCTTCAAGAAGTTTCCAAAGGGAAGTCAGACCAGAAGTACAGCAAAACAGACAGAAGAACAACAAAGAAACAATGACTTAGAAGTACAGCTGCAAAAGTTAAGCAAGGAGTTAGAGTTTTACAAGCAGAAATATGGCACAAAAGAGGAGACTGAAATTTTAGCCGATAACAGGACCAACGAATTACAGCAAGTGACAAACCACATGAAAATTGAAAATGGTGACAAAAGAATACCTACTGTTGTCTGTTACTGCTGTAAACAAAATGGACACTATGCACGGGAATGTCCCCTGAAACAACCGCACAACCAGACTCAACAGCCAGTTGTTAGACCCCATCCTTTAAATGGCCATTAGCCATTTCTGAGGGTCGAGGGATGGCTACAAAGATTACTACTGAGGACCGACAGACGGACAGTAGAGACTCTACAAAAGAAGAAAAACTAGATTCAACTACAAAATTAAACAGATTACCAAATACAACAGGAATTTATCTAGAGGGAACGGTGAATGGGTATTTTGTTCATTTTACTACAGATACTGGAGCTTCCACCAGTATTCTGACTCACAGAGTTTACAAGAAATTAAAGGATGATAAAAAACCTTTGTTGATAGGAAATTCTCAACTCCGAGGTGCAGGTGGGGCAAATATACCTGTTTATGGGTATGGATCCTTTGAAATTCAAATTGGAGAAGTAAAAATAGAGAAACAACTTCTGGTAGCAGACATAGAAGACGATGCTCTGCTGGGAATGGACATTTTAATGGATAAAGAAAGTAAAGCCGAAATTCATCTGGACAGAAAAATTATAAAATTTTATGGACATGAAATTCCATGCATTTCAAATGATGATGAATCGAAATTGACTCTTAGATCAGCTGACCAATACACTATACCCCCTATGAGCGAAATGCTGATTCAGGCATTTGTTGAACGCAATCATGAAGAAGATCAAGAAAAATTGTTCCTTTTTGAATCTTCACCAGAATTTACAGCTAAATCTTCATTGCTTGTGGCGCCAGCAGCGATTGATATTGTTAGGAAAGTTACAGTACCCTTGAGAATCATGAATCCTCTGGAAGAAGCAAAAACATTGTACCAAGATACAGTTCTGGGAACTGCTGAGGTCTGTTTGGAGGTATCAAGATTGGGTTTACATGTAGCTGATGAAAACAGTGTCAGAAGAGTAGCTGAAATTGGAAAGGGGTTGGAAGGTCAAACTGAAGAGGAATCTTTAGCACACTTGACAGATCTGTATGAGAAGTCTGTAAGGAACTTGTCCAAAGGAGAGGCAAAAACCTTGAAAACCCTGCTAAAGAATT